CACAGCTGTTCCAGTGTTCTTGGCACGCTGAAAGGCCATCTTCAACCCTATCGCGTTGGCCCCCCTTCCCCCTGGGAAGCCACCGTTTCTACCACTTATCGTTACAGTTTTGCCGCCTCTTGTCTGGGAAATGAACCTGGCTTTGAAGGATGCCCTCGTCAGACCGGCATCGCTTGGGTTTTGCCCCCCAATAGCGACCATCCCATCTGTGTCACCACGTTTCGTTGGGTTTGGATTCTTGGCTCAGCAGTGCACGGAGCAGTACATGAGGCCTATTTACAGCAAATGGGCTCCTGTATCTGCAGAAATGGCTGTGTGGCTTCTCCTGGATTGTGGTTTTTACATGCCAATAATCGAGCCACGAAATATCACGCAGGTTGCTCGGAAACAGCTATTGGAATAATTCACCATTCTCCCCCTTATTGCCCCCCCGAGCAACCAATATGGCATCGTCCTGAGTGGCCCCACAATTCCACTTCACACGGGTGGAGCCTCTCCGGGAACTTTGTAAAACGCCGCTTTCGTCGTGCTGCTCTTTTGCAGAAGGCCAGGAGGCCTGAACTTTATCATCAGATTTGGACTAACAATACTTACGTTAGAGACATTAATCATTTTGCTTCTATGCTTAACCTTTCTGATTGTTGGATGTGTATGCATATCCCTCCTCAATCAAAAAGATCTGGCATTTTATTACATGGTATTCCTATAAATGCTTCATATAAGATTAGCAATAATATGAAAGACAATCGCATAAGTTTACCTCCTGTATCTCTATCGCTTGTAGAATTAGCTCCGTATTGTTTTCATTTTAATCACAATAGCAAAAAATTTTTAGGTCATTATCCATATTGTAATTGGACATATGAATACATTAATGGATCTTCTTGTTTTCTTAATGTTACAACCATGAGTGGTAGGCCAAAGGTCTTAATTAATAATGTCACAACCTACATGACCTATGAACAACAAGCTGCGTGTAGAGACTTTTATGTTTGGTTCGACTGGATGAGAAAGAGCAGCAGAACTACATGTTTGCTTCAATCTGACTTATGGTTATTTTGTGGCACACATGCCTACAAAGAAATCCCCTCTGCCTTTTCTGGTACCTGCACGTTAGGCATAGTGGTACCCTTGGTGTATAAAATAGATAAGCTCCCAGCGGTCCGTTTGCGTAACAGAAGGGAAGTACAATCACCTATTTCTCAATATACAGGGACAGCCATTTCTAGGTCCCTTCTGCCTTCTTTAGGTGCAGCCATGAATTACCGTGATTTGCATAAATTGGCAAACTGGACAGAAAATTTGTTTAATTCCACCATTTTGGCTTTAAAAATGATTAACAAAGAATTATCAGAAATAAGAAATGTGGTTCTTCAACATCATTATGCTTTAGATGTGATCCTTGCTTCTAAAGGTGGAATTTGTGCCTTAATTTATTCTCATTGCTGCATGTATATAACTGATCAATCAACCAATATCTCTGCTACTATTGATCATATGGAACAAATGATAGCCCATAATCCTTTGAATCCACCTGAAGGTTTTGATCCATGGAGTGGTTGTCTTCTTGGTTACCCAATGGAGTATGGTTAAGAAAAGTATTATTGATTGTAATTGCATGTATTGTTGGTTTTATTATGGTATGTTGTTGCATTCAATGCATACCCTCTTTGATTTCCCAATGCGCTGCATGGTGGTACCGACCACGGCCCACCACAGGGGTTACAAGAGGAATTTATGTTGCAAGGTGTAGACGCTTAGGCAATGAAGTGTACGATTTGGACTAATGGTCCCTCTTTTCCTCTAACAATATAAACAAGAAAAGAGGACATGTGGGAAAATGATTGTTTGTACATGAGAGCATGAGCAAAGTTTTTATTGTTACAGAGTGATCTCATAGCTAGAAGCATCCTTGGAGCATGAACAGCGCGTGAACAGCTCGTGCTGTCCTATATGATTGGCTAACGTAGCATGGCCTGATCGCTCGCATGGTCTAGTACCAAGGTCTTTATCTGCTGGCTAGAACAAATTGCTTGACTTGTATTTTTGTATCTTTCTATTTCACACATTTCACACAATAAAAGCTGTGCTGCATTAGCCCTAGCAGCAGCCATATTTCGGAACCTATCATGGTGTGAGACTGATTTTCCTCTGAATGCCGAGCTGCAACTCGACAAATGTCTAAGTCATAATCTGTCTTTGCTTGCTCTTTCCACAGAATTTCAAATTGTTAAACTATGAGATGTTTTCTAGAAGCTACCTTCTGCCCCTTTTAAATATCTGTTATGAATGCAAATTGTATTGACACATCCTGGGAAGGAAGAAAGGACACACACACACACACAAACAAACATTTGATTAACCTTAAGTCAACATTATGATCCAAGAATCTGATTTTGCTTTTGCAATAAATTCAGGAAATAAACAATTTTATCAAATTCACCGATATCAAGAAAAAATGAACAATCACAAGCAAAATCAGGAATTTGTCCCAAAGATCAGGGTCACAGCAGGACAGCTCAGCACATTTCCAGGAAATGGCTGGTATAGAGATCAGTACCTTAGCAGCAGTGAGCTGCAGATATAATAGGAATGGGGGGGGGGTTAGAGATCTGGTGCTGTATTTCAGAAGATTAGAATTAAAGATTGCAAGGGCAGGTCCAAGGCTTTTCACCACAAATCTCTGCCCCCACCGAGCTCTGAAATTTCTTATAGGTTTTACAAGCCAGGCAAGAGTTATGTGCTTCTGGTGGCACTTTCCTAATCTCCCTTGCTGTCCACCCTCACAAGTGGAGAACCATTTAGCAATAAGGAATAAATTTTAGTTCCTGGACATGCTAAAACCACAGACTCTTGGAGAAAGGCATACATGTCTCCTTTCAAACTGAGCCACTATTTATTCCTCAAGACCAAGAGACACTTTCCACACACTTAAGCATCTCCTTGTAATCTTTTCAGCTTCCTTGCAGCAGCTTGCTCTGTCCCCTCCCCCCCCCACTGTATTAATGAAATTATGTCAGCTTGGGAAGTAGGACTTTTGCATGTACTGTAACCATTACCTCTCTTTCCCTCTTCACCATTTCACCACCTAACTGTTTATCAGTTGCACTGCATCTCATTTCCACAGCTGCCGTTGCCTTGAGCTATACGCAGGTGGATGTGTGCTTTTCCTACATGCTCAAAAAATGATTCCACCCAAATGATGTTTACACTTGATTTTAGCCAAAAGGCCAAGAAGCCAAAATAATTTTTACGAGCGAATGCATTATTCCTGATTAGAATTACATCATTCTAATATGGGAATCACATGGTTGCCATATGAGATGATGAAAGGCTAATCAGCAAGGATGTTTCCCTTTAACCTTTCTTTTAGAGATATATTGGGAGAGCACACAAACACACACCACAAAGTGTTGACAGCTCTGAAACAGAGGTGTAGTGAAAACGATTTGCTGAAGGAAGGGCCACTTCACACTTACTGCATTGTCTATACTGAAAGCACTTGTATATAAAAAGTGTACATTTATCAGTGTGTAAATGCACTGTGAATAAGCACTGGGGAGCTGAGGCCACAATTATGTCCCCCTGGTGCTTATTCCCCAGTGTTTAAGAATACGTGCCTGCTAGTCATACTTTATTTCCCCAAACACAACTGTGTCAAGTGTGAAGTGGCTGAGGCAGGACTTGACCTGCAGTATATGTATGTTGTATGTGTTGACGTAACCTGGTACAAGAGCAGCTCTTGGCTTATTTTATCTGGTGACTGATCAGAGGACAATAGACTGGCATATTGCACAGTCGTTCTGTGCCATAAATTTCTTCGAAAGCAAAACTACAACTGATGCGGGAGATCCCAAACAAGAACTCTGGAGCTTTTTAAAACGGGCAACCACAGTGGGAGTGAGGATCAGAAGCATGGCACAGGAGAGGAGAATGGAGCCTGCATGCTTTGCCAATAGCACCATGGTGGGGATTTCAAGAAGGCAAAGCATGAGGTTTAGTTATACTTCCGCAGGTGCCATGGTTACAGCCCAAATAGTGCGCCCCCCCTTCCCTATGGCTGTTATTCGCATTAAAAAACACACACACACACACACACACACACACACACACACATATATTGGATCTCCAGCAGCCAGTGTGTTCATTGTTCCACACCCCATAATCTAGTCCCTGCCTATACAGGCCAAGATGCCTCGTCCCCGAGACCCTGTTCTGGAAAAAGTTCAGACTCTACCCAGCGCCCTATTCCTTCGCTTCCAGACAGCGGGCGCGCACAGCCGCGGGGTCAGCTCCCGAAGCCTGACAGACGGGGAGCGACGGGAGATTCACCCCAGATCTCTCGACTGCTTGGCGCGGTCTGTTTCTTAGGAGCAGAGCGGGTGTGTTGGAAGACTCCCCCCCCCCCGTAGCTGTCAACTTTTCCCCTTTCTTGCGAGGAATCCTATTCGGAATAAGGGAATTTCCCTTAAAAAAAGGGAAACGTTGACAGCTATGGGCCCCCCCCCCATATCTATGGTGTGTTTCTTTGACGAGCTAATGGCAACATGTGCAGTTGATGAGACGAAGGAACAAAAATACGGTCTCTGAGTGCGCGCGCGCGCAGGTTCTCTGGACGAGTTGCCACAGGTACCAGAGACTTGGGGGGGGGGGGAGCGTGATAACAAAGGCATGTCTCGCCTGCCCCCCCCAACTCCTTCTCCTCGCTCATTATAATGTGGGAGAAACCGAGCAGAAACGTGTTTTACAACAGCAGCGGCACAAAACGTCTATATGCCAAACGAAACGAAATCCCGCTCGCAAGCCGGCGTTATCTTTCCGGCATGGGCCGGAGCGCCTTCGCCACCTGCCTCCTCCTGACACACACACACTCTCTCAATCCACCGCCCCCCCCCCCGCCCGCCGCCTTTGTAAATCCGGCTCGCGCGAAGCAAGCGGCACCTTTCCCAGAGCAGCTGCTTCCCGCGCGCGCGCGCCCGGCCCCTCCTCTTCCCGCCCACCTGGGAGACGGACAGACTCCCTCTCTCCTCGCCTCCGCCGGCTGCTGGTGCGGACTCGCGACTCTGCACGTAGCGAATGGAGGCGGGCTCCTCCTCCTCCTCCGCCGCGCATGGAAACTGCTGCGCCGCGTGTGGCGGATCCCACCCCCCTTTCTATCCCCCCTATTCAGTTTCCGACGCACCATCAAGGGCTGCGTGTGAGACCGCGAGCAGGCGGGGCTCTTCCTCCGTCTCCTCCTGCCACATACGCGCCGGCTGCGCCTTTGCTCTTTCTGTTCTTTGGCGCTGCCTTGAAGGGTTTAATCTTCGCTGCCTGCCGAGGGAGGGGAGTTTGGAGGTCATTTCGCTTTCCTCTCCTTCAGAGGTTCAGTTCCTGCCATGAAGGACTCCGGGTGGGTTGGTCGAGGTCAAGACAGACCAGCACAAAGGACCGGCCGTTGATTTCCAAGGCAAGGTGTTGCCTTATATTTTAGAGTGAATTGTTCGTTTAACACGGATCGATTAGCCTTTTGGCATATCCACACCTACAATTAACTGTCTCCCCCCCCCCAAGAAAATCCCGGGAACTGTAGTTCGTCAAGGGTGCTAAGTCTTGTTGCTCTATGGGGGACAAACTATAGTTCCCAAGACCTCACGCCACACATTTATTGATTATACAGCAGGGGTTGTTTGGCAGGGTGGCAGAGATTGATCCTTCCTTACAGTCAGTGCTGTTGGAATGGCTTTCTGTTCTGTGGTTGGGAAGCACCTAACCAGAGGTGCCAACTTGAATAAAATATTGGGGGGGGGGGGGAGGTAAGCCCTGCCCTACATAATCAATCACATTACACGGCACACACACAGCATTTGAATGGCAATGTCCAACTTTACACCCGTATCCATTTATCTGGGTGTAAGCTCTATTGAACTTAACGGGACTTCCTTATGATTAGACAGGTACAGGATTGAACTATAATTGTACAAAGGCTTGTGAAAGTTCCCTCCCCAAATCACAAACTTTTCTTGAAACCCCCTGCAAGTGCATTGTTAAATGCTCTTGAAGTACTGAATACCTGCCATAGGGATGAATGTGAAGTGGACTGGAACTTCTTATCATAGGGATAGTGTTTTTATTACTGATCATTTCTATAAAACAAGGAGGCATCTTGTGGCACCTTAAAGACTAAGAAATGGATTATGATTCATGAGATATTATAATTTCTATAGGACTTACTGGGGTGCCTGGGGTACTCAAAAAGGCTATACTGACAATGGACAGACGTTTCTCCGGGAAATGGTTTTACAATGACATTAAATGAATATACTGTGCAGAATGATTCTGGTTATAGCATGCCTTCAGTTTGTGGGAACTTCTTACCAGAGTTACCTAATTTTAAAATATATTATTTTAGCATATGACATCAGCATAGAATTTCATATACTGCATAGACTGCAGCTGCACAATAATACATATTTTTAAGATTTATGATTAGGCAAATGTAGAATGGACTCTCTCTCTCTCTCTCTCTCTCTCTCTCTCTCTCTCATACACACACACACACACACACACACACACACAACCACCTGACACCAGAGAGTATTAGGTCTATTTCAAAAACAAAATAATAATGAGAAATACCTTGATCATTTAGTGGCATATTCTTTGTACTAGAAATATTTATGGCAAGCTACTTAGTAACCAAACTTATGTAGAATAAATGAGGTGAGGAAGGGGCAACTTACAGCTCAGTGATAGTTTGGTATGGATGGTGCACAGCTTTCTGTTAGCATTCCTGATAGTCACAGCTTCCCATGGGTAAAGAGATGTCTGAATAAGTCATGGCAAGAATGCTGATGTGGGGGCATTATGGTGCTGTGGTAGTATGCTAGTTTTTGTTCTAGCCAAACCTGTTTTCATAGCCATGTCCCTGCTCCACACCCTCTTTCCTATCTGGCTTGGCAACCAGAGTACCAGGTGATGCCTCTCAGAAGGTTAAATTTGGTCTAGTCTACCAGTTGGTGCACCCTTGATATGCTAGACAGCTATCACCTGATCATTAAGACGGCGCGAAATGATACAGTCAGTATAATGCCCAGCTCTAGCTTTCCTTGCCATTGGTATCAGAAAAGGCAGTGCAGGTCCTGTACTGTACGATAGTAAGGTAGCCTGGCTTCATTTCCTCCTGTTCTTAGAGAAAGAATGCTAAAATGTGATGGGGAAAGGCGAAAGAACTGATTCGAACAATTTTTTCCAGGAGGAAAAAAGGAAAGGAAAGAAAACGATCTCTGAAGTTAAAAAAGGTGTTTGAGTTTTTTGCTGAACTGGGGCAAATTGCTGGTGTGACCCATGCCATCTGAGATGGGGGTGAAGACCTCTCTAGGGAACTCCTGATATTTCCCTCTTTGAAACACTTGATACCTGGTGTGATTTGATCTGTTCCAAAAAGAAAATGTTTCCGCTCTGAAAAATCTTTATGAGCTCACGGATTTGTCCTTTCCAGCAAGGCAGTCTTCATAATAGCCAGGAAAAGCTAAGGCACAGGGAATTCCAATGGAGTCAAGGGGGTAAACCTCAGCCTCCCCATTCAGTAAAACAATGGAATGCATGTGTCTCGTGACACCACCATTCTGATCCTGGACTATATCGGTCATATATTTAACTGAATGTCTTACATTGTTAATCAGAAACATACAATTTTGGAGACCCAGTGGTGCATCATTATGGTCAGATGTTCTAGGGCAAGACATAATTTACACACAGATACAAACATTTATGGACTTTGTGGTGATGGAATAGCAGGGCTGCTGTACCTGATTGTATTGCTGCCTTTTCCTCTTCGTAAAACATGTTTGTACCTATGCATTTCCAACATATGCAGATGGGTCCAAACTATCCTATCAAATTAGTAAATATATAGCTTGGCATGTCACAAATTTTGTTACTGTAGTTCTGGGCAAAGTGAACCGATGTTTCAGCCCAGTCTGAAACAGGTTCACTTGAAAGTAATTTTGATAGAACTTCCAAGTAAGTATGTTTAGATGGTCAGCCTCTGGCCTTTCCAGGTTCAGGCTGGGTTAATGTGTGGCACACCCACTATGCCATGACTATTTGCAGTAATCCTATAAAGCAGGCCAGTATTTTATCCTCATATTGCAAATGAGAAACTGAGGATGAGAGAATAATGTCTGTAGCTGAGGTTTGATCTAGCGACTTCCTGGCTCACAGCTCACTCACTCCATTAACCACTATGTGACACCAGCTTTCATTGTACAATCTGTGAGCAGCTGTCAGTTGTTTCAGGGATCCAGACATCTTTCTCTTCAAGGACTTCTGTTTCCCAAGCACATCTGCTGCAAAAAGAATGCATCCCCCCAGCATTCAACATAGATTTTCTCCCTAAGACAATATTATTCTTTCTCCCTGCTAGTTACAGCACCCATTATGGCATGGAGTGTTGGGTGGAATATGATTGCGTGAGTCTTATGGGTTCTAGCCAATTTTCATTCTCATGTTATTGCTGGTGATAAGCAGCCAACTCCACCTACACTGTCAACTTTCCTTAGTTCATGCCCCTCATTTCTTTTACGTTTACGACTCAGGCTTGGAGGTGTGCGTGTGGCTTTGAACATTGGGGTGTGGTGGGGAACCCATGATGAGCATCAACAACAATGCCTCTCCCCTTGTAGCAAGGCTTTGCCATTTTGTGAACTTTAAATGCTTATCTGTGGTTCTTCAATTCTACTGTCTGAAAACAAAATCAAAAAGTGGAGCAAAAGCTGTCCCCACAACAAGACTCTTCCTCCCACTGGAAGCTTAATAAGAGCCCTGCTGGATCAAGCCAATGGCCCATCTACTCCAGCATCCTGTTCTCACAGTGGCCAATCAGATGCCTGGATAGCTCAGTTGGTTAGAGCATGGTTCTGATAACACCAAGGTTGCAGGTTTGATCCCCATATAGGGCAGCTGCATATTTTTGCATTGCCGGGAGTTGGACCAGACGATGGGGTCCTTTTCAACTATGATTTTATTATATAGAACAAAAAATATGAAGTATGGGAAACTTGTAAGCAGGGCAACAGCACCCTTCCCAATGCTTTGCATTGTACATGGCAAGCAATAAAACCCCCCATTTTTGAACACCAGGAAAAGCCTGCCAGTATTGCACGTGGAATGTATTATTTGCACCCAGTAAGGTCTCTTGTTTGCTACTATTTCTGAATTCCGTAGCACATGTTAAGCTTTAGCAATATACTATTTTTAAAAGGATGCACAAAAGGCATTGCAGAGAGATACTTTGCTTTCATTTGCTGTTTTCATTTCCCCCCAAATCCTCTGAGAAGCAGCCTGTATGGCTCTGTGATCCAAGGTCTTCTGGCAAGCTTGGACAAGAGATGAAGGAAGGAAGAGGAAAACGCCACACTGCAGATTGTGGGCAGCAGCGTAGGCACTCAGACACAGCATTAGATTATTTACTCTTAACAACCTGCAAGGGAACAATCTGCATGAGACTGCAATGGTATCAGCCCTCAGTGGCCAATGAGGTACCAGAGAAATGTGGAGTGATCACAGACAAAGCCAGGAGAAGGAGGAGGAGTGCCCTAAAGCCCTGACCGAATTCTGGCAGCCCCAGACACACTGTTAGACTGCCCGTGGGAGGTGCTGTGAATGTGCAGAAAATTTGGCTACATAATATCCTATAAGTGGACGATTTAACTAATACACAAATAGCTTTATGGCCCTGAGAATGAGCTGATTTATCATGATCTTCACAGCTTCGGGGCAATAATGTGCTGCTCTGAGACAGAGGAAGATTGAGAAAAGTTGAACTAGCCCAGTGCCTAGGAAATGGAATTGGACTTAGCTGTTGATGTTATTAATGCCTTGTTCCCACTCAGACCCTGACTGTGATTAGCTAGTGTTGGTGCACCCAAGTCATGGATTTTTCAGACAGGCAAGCCCCTCCCCACATAATGAATCACAAGATGCGGCGCACACACACCATTTGGCTGGCAATGCCCTTCAACTTGGGGTGGTGGTAGTCCTGGCCCCCTTAAGTATTTTATTGGGGTGGGCCAAAGGGACCTCAGCCTCTAGTAGAATGGTATGCAACCATTCTGTTGGTGAGAGGTGAACATCCCTTCCACAGTGTGAACTGAATAGCTGCTGGATCA